GTGAGTGAATGTGGTAGATAAAAGTCTTTCTCTGGGCTGAGGTTGTGGCTCAGTGGTAGAGCACTCGCCTAGCATGTGTGCGACCCTGAGTTCGATCCTCAGCACCACATATAAATAAATTAAAAAATAAAGATATTAACCCACTTGAATCAAATATATGAAATATGGTATGTCAAGAGCTATGTAATGTTTTGAACAACTAATAATAAAAAAATAAAGTGATGGATTTAGGGGAAAAAAAGATATAAAAAAAAAGTCTTTCTCTGGCAGTGTATCTTTTCTTCCTCTTGTTTGTGAAACACAAGGGACTGAAACATGCTGCAGATGCATTTTCTGGTGCTATTTCAGCTACTGGATGTGGGTTCATTTTGGGGGGTTTGGGTAATAACAATAATTTAAGTGGCAAATAATTTAAGTTAGGTATTATGGCTAACTTGGAGTTGAGAAATAAATAAGCAGTCAATCTTTTAATCACTACTTCTAGGTGGTAGACCTATCTAATTTAGAAATTATTACCATCCGTATAATAGTGCACAAGTTGCTTTAGTGTTTGGAACCTAATTTGCCTCTGCCTTATGAGGATTCGGAATGTGTAGTATGTCAGAGAAAACATTCAGCATTTGTTTTTTGGGATTGGCTAACTTCACTTAGCATTATCTTCTCTAACTCCATCCATTTACCTGAAAATAATGCAGGTAAATGATTTTGTTCTTTTTTATTGCTGAGTCATATTCTATTGTGTATATATGTCACTTTTTTTAATCCATTCATCTATTGAAGGGCATTTAGGTTGATTCCGTGGTTTAGCTATTATAAATTGTGCTGTTGTAAACATTGATGTGGCTGTGTCCCTGTAGTATTCTGTTTTTAAGTCCTTTGGGTATAGACCAAGGAGAGAGATAGCTGGGTCAAATGGTGGTTCCGTTCCCAGTTTTCCGGTGATTCTCCATACTGCTTTCCATATTGGCTGTACCATTTTGCAGGCCCACCAGCTGAATGGTTTTCCTGATATAAGGAGGCTAATTCATAGTGGGGTAGGGAGAGGGAGGATGAGAAGAGTAGATGAATTCTAGATAGGGCAGAGGGGTGGGAGGGAAAGGGAGAGAATATGGGGTTAGAAATGATGGTGGAATGTGATGGACATTATTATCCAAAGTACATGTTTGAAGGCATGAATTGGTGTGAATATACTTTGTATACAACCAGAGATATGAAAAATTGTTCTCTATATGTGTAATAACAATTGTAATGCATTCAGAAGCTGTCATATATAAATTTAAAAAATAAAAAGAAAGATATATGTATCATATGTGAAGAAACAGGAACAATCAATTCTGCTTGTTATTTTTAATAATAGTACAACATGGTGTAGAGTCTCTTGAAGTGTGATTCCCAGACCAGCATCACCCACATTATGTGTTTAAAAAAGAGGACATTCTTGGGGTTTAAGTCAGCCCTACTGAATCAGAAACGCTGGGTATGGAGCCCAGCCATTTATGTTTTATAAGCCCTATTGGTGATTTTGGGGCCTGTTAAGTTTGAGAACTGCTGGTAAAATGGATAAGTATGGAGACCTTATCCAGAAAATGGGGAATAAATGCCTCTCCTATATAGATGTGTTTGTAACTTTTGCATCACTGTGAGAAAAATACCTGAGGAGAACAACTTAGAGGAGAAAATGTTTATTTGGAGGTCGTGGCTGCAGAGGTCTCAGTTCATCAATGGTTGTCTTTATTGCTCTGGGCCCAAGGTAAGGCTGCCCATTCTGGGGAATGGCATGGAGGAGGGAAGCTGCTCTCCTATGTCAGCGGTGTCAGGAGCAAAGACACAGGGAAAAAAAGGGCTGCAGGAAGAATATCCCTTCCAGGGCATGCCCCTGGTGACCTATCTCCTCCACTTATCTCCTGATTACAGTTGCCACCCGTTGAGTCCATTGAAACTGGGATGGACTGATCAGATGACAGCTCTCATCATTTACTTATTTTACCTCTGAACATGCCTGCATTAATACTTTGGGGGGCACATGTCCTATCCAAGCTATAACAATAAGGTAGTTCTTAAGATCTTGCAACAGTGTTTAGCATTTAATTTGTGTACTAGACAAATGTCAGTGTCATTTGTATCTGAGAACCAGAGAGTTTATATGCTAGAAAGAATATCTGAGTCAAATATCCTTATGTAGGCAAAATATAATAATAGCTGCTAGGTGCATGGACTTGTAGTTCAGACAACTTGTTTGAACACCCTAGTTATACACATAAAAACCTGTGGTTTTAGGAAACTCTTTCTAGAGCTCCATGTTCTTATCTGTAAAATGGGGATTGTAACAGTACCTATCTCAAGTAGCCATGATGAAACTATGACAGACTTAGTGTTGACAAAGCTTCTCTTCTTGACCAAACTTTATCTGGGCTCTACTGAGCCCTTTGCTCAACTAGGCCTGATCTAGGACTTCTATCCCCCTCCTGGCAGAGTCCAAATTTAAGGAGACACTGAATGTCTGACCACCTTCAATACCTGATCAAATTCTTTTTTTTTTTTTTTTGTGGGTGGTGGTGGTGCTGGAAATTGAACCTTAGGTTTCTGCATATGCAAAACAAGCACTCTTCCACTTACACCCTAAGCCCCTCTGATCAAATTCTTGGTCTTCCACCATTCCCCAGGTGATATCTAAGCGTTGTGGCCTGTCTCCAGGAAGAATCGTGTCAAGTCATTTTATACAGACTTTACCCTGTTATTTTCTCTTACTAATCCTTCCTCAGAATCCCCCACTTTTTCTTACTGTGCTAGGAGTGGAGTCCAATCTTTTCCCACTGCTACAAAATCTATAGCAGTAGTACCCACACCTGCCACATTGTCCTGAATAACTACTTTAATGGTGTTGGAATTTTTCTTTAACAGTGTCTTGGATGAAAATATCATTTGTTAAGAATTATTCTTCAGATAGAAGTCATCTAATTAAATGACAATGCTAGCTCAATGATTTCAGATGTCTTAAAATTATCTTGGATAATTATCCCATAATACATTGCCACTTACTTTTGGAAATTCACTACAGTTCTGTAACTTTTTTTTTTTGGCTTTGGTTCACAAAATATCCTATGACTTTCAATGAGATTAAAATGTATCTTATTTGCTGTCCCTTGCTAAAAACAGTGCCAGTGTCCCTGTGCCTCAGAAATAGGTGTGACTAGCAGTTGCTGCCCTAGGTGAGAGGGTTATTGCCTCTGCATGCCTCTTGATAAGGACAGCTCCAGGTGACACTGATGTGGCTGTACTCACTGCCAGGCCTTACCCAAGTTCATGTTCTCAGGTGATGTTTTATTATTCTTGAAGACTGAGATCCCTGAGGTGGGTTGGAAAACATTTCATCAAAGACTCTCTAAAAGGAAGGTGTGCATGCTTAACAAAACTGCTTTTTGCTAGTCTCTATTACCTTCTTTCAGCAGGTGTAAGGCTTTATTCTCTGTATTCCTTTCTAGTGTAGCCGTCTGGCTCTAAGCCTTCTTTGTTTCTACCCAGATGCCAGCTTCTAGTTAACTTTTTTTTTTTTTTTTAACGCTACCAACCATCTGGAGGAAAACTGATTGGGGCTAGGGTCATTTTTTTTTTTTTACCTTTTAAAATTGCTGTGTAGGTAAAAGGATTTTTCAAACCCATGAATGACCCTTCTCAGATCTCAAAGGCACTTCTGATTGGCAAAGGGCTCCTTCGTGGAAAAGCTGAGTTAAGCAGAGGTAGCAACAGAGGCAAAGAGGAGCTTGCTCAAGCTACAAAATGGGTTGAGAAATATAGATCTGCCCAATTATAATTCAAACAAAAACAAGTGAGAAACTGTAGTCGGTTGAGGCACTCTTGGCCCAGCATCTGGGCTTTGCATGCATGCATGCATAATTAAGTTTCAGGCAGCTGCAGGCTTCCACAGTGCACAGGGCGGGCAGGATATCATAATACACAGTAGGTTGCATATCAATGGAACTCTTTTTAAATTCACATGAAGCCTAAGATAAAAAGACATCAGCAAAAATTAAACAACATTCAAAACGTCAGTGAATTGTGATACAGGCCACCAGGAAAACAATGGAAACCGACCTGGTTTCCCCTCATTGTTCTGTTTCCTCTACACAAATAGATAAGAGCAACAGTGCTGACTTTGTTTTAAAATACACACACACTCATTAGATCAAAGGGATCAATGCATATTTAAGCAACTTTCAAGGCATCACAGGAAGAGCGAAATAGTCTGCTTTATTTTGAAAGACAGCAGAGAAAAAAAATCACACACAAGCATTGAGGTATTGTGATATGCAGATGGTTAGCTTTCAGGAGAATTAAATATTCATGGAAGATAAAAATCTCTCCCATTGTATTTTGAATGTATATGAGGCACAATGCCCTCTGTGTCCACATAACAGACAGACCCTGTTCTTTGTACACACAGTTCTGTGCACAAGGACAGCTCAAATCACATCCCGTGATGTCACCCTCGCCTAGGCCAGGCAGGCCCTTACACCATCAGGCTGCCCTGTGGTAGTTGGTGACATCACCCAGAGAACTTTGTCCCTGTGGTACTTTTATGTCCTTGGATGCACAGTCTATGCAAAAGACCCTCAGCTGGGTTTTGTTTACCAATCGCCCCAAGCCTTCACTGAATCTAGAGTGCCAGGACCACAGGAAACCTTTCAGCGCCCAGGCAAGTCCTGGGAGGAGTCTGAGGTTCCTGGACACAATACAGTTTGCATTTGCTTCTCTTCCTCACCAGGTGCAAGCCCTGTACTCTGCCCGCTATCTGCTGTTTCATTGCATACCTTTGTTTGACAGGGAATCAAAGGGGTTTCTCAGGGGCCTTTAATCTGATTAACCACACACGGGTGAAGAGTAGAAGGGTCGAGATGCTCCAGGACAAGGAAGCATTGTTGCTCAGGGCCCCATTTGTCATCTCTGAAACCCCACACCCTCCACTGCCTGTTTTCTCCCAGCTTCCCCGTCTTCCCCACCCCATGTGCCAACTCAGACAGAAAACAGGATTCAAAGAGGAGCTTTTGTTGAGGAGGGATGATGAAAAAGATGTGTTTGCTCCTCACGGGCTGCGGAAATAAAGAATTTATTAGTCATAGATGAGCCAGATGAATGAAAACTAAACCTGCTTAAGGGAAGGCATTAAGAAGGTGGGAACAATAAATATTCCCCTGGATTTCAATTTGATTCTGAATTTAGTTCATTTTAATCCTATTAGGAAACAGACTCTACCTATTGCATTCTTTGGAGTCATCTACTTTGAAAGTATGTGATTGTCTTTGCTTCTTTTTCCCCATACTTTCAGACCATGTCCTCTGTAGAAGATGAGTCATTAGAGAATGATAAGGGCAGAAGAGTCTTCGGATTCTGGAATGGCATTCAAGTGATTGTATTTGCTGGTGAGATACTGCTTTGATTGGTTTCAGTATGCTGTCTTAGTTCATTGCTCTTTTTTGTCACTACCTCAGTCCTCAAATAAATTCCATCTTATCTCCAACTCAGATTTGAAAACATTTGTGTTTTTTTTAGGTGTTGTTTTTGTGTCCATATTTTAAATACAAGTATAACTAACTGTGCTGATGTTATTGGACCCCAAGATATAAATAGGAAATGCAGGAATCATACCTAACTCCCTCCCCCTTTTTTGATAAAAATTAAAGTTTCTATGTTGGTACTTTCTCTCTCTCTCTCTCTCTCTCTCTCTCTCTCCTTTTAAATATTCTCTAAAGACTTGGTTTAGATACGAATGAAAACTTTTTACTCCAGTGAGTGAACAAGGCAAAAAAGTAGACATAGGGATCAAAGAGAACAGAAAACTCAGCCTAATGCCCTTATATAAGCAGCTATTGCACACAATCAGCCTCCTCAGAGGAGGCACACGGGCTCAGTGGGTCAAGATGCAGAAGGAGTTAGTTAAGAGGGCATTTCCTTAGGGAAAGCTGAAGAGGCTCCCTCTCCCTCAGCTTTATTGAACTATGATTGACAAATAAAAATTGTATGTACTTAACACATGCAACATGATGTTTTGATATGCATGTAAATTGTGAAATTATCACCATAATCAAGCTAACAACTCCATCATCTCACCCAGTTAGTTACTTTTGATTTTTTTTTTTTTTTTCTGGTAAGAACACTTGAGATTTACTCTCATGGCCAATTTTCAGCACGCAGTTCTTTCTGACTAATCACAGTCAAGGTGCTGAGCACTGAGTCTCCCAAAGGTACTCATTCTATAACTGAAGATATGTACTCTTTTACCAACATCTTCTCCCTACTTCCCACCTTCTGTAACCACCAGTTTACTCTTGGTTCCTTCATGTTTGGCTTTTTATAAACTTCTAGTTATAAGTGAGATCATGCAGTATTTGTCTTTCTGTGCCTGCCTTAACTCAGCATAATATCCTTCAGATTCATTTAGGTTGTCACAAATGGCAGAATTTCCTCATTTCTTAAAGCTAACTTAATATTCCATTGTGGTATATGTGTGGTGGGGAGGTATAACATATATAATAACATATGTATCATATTTTTTATGTCCTCATTTGTTGTATGATGTTTAGGTCATTTGTGAATAATGTTGGAATGAACATGGAAGTACAAATAGTTCATTGAGATGTCTATTTCCTTTGAGTATAGACACAGAGGCAAGATTGTAGGATCATATGGGAGTTCCATTTTTAATTTTTTGAGGAAACTCTGTATTGTCTTCCATAATGGTTGTACTAAGTTACATTCCCACAACACTGTACCAGGGATCCCTTTTCTCCACATCCTCATCAACACCTACATTTTCCCTTTTGGATCAGAGCATTCTGACTGGAGTGAGGTGGTAGTTCATTGTGGTTTTGATTTGCATTTCCCTAACAATTAGTAATATTGAGCACCTGTTTATATACCTGTTGGTCATTTGTGTGTCTCAAAAGAAGACATACAAATATCTATTTGGCAAAGGGGAATGGAGGGCAGAAAGTGGGATGGGAATAGGAAAGACAGAAGAATTAATTGGATATAACTTTTCTATGTTCATATATGAACAGTGTAACTCCACAACATGTTAAACCACATAAAGGTGATCTTGCTTAGAATAAGTTATACTCTATGTATGTACACTATCTCAAAATACATTGTACTGACATTTATCTAAAAAGAACAAATTAAAAAATGTCTATTTAGGTCTATTGTACATTATTTACTTGAAAGATTTTTGGTTTTTTGCTATTGAGTTGTATGAGTTTATTATCATCATCATCATGATACCAGGGACTGAACTCAGGGGCACCCAACCACTGAGCCACATCCTCAGCCCTATTTAGTATTTTATTTAGAGACAGGATCTCACTGAGTTGCTAAGTGTCTCGCCGTTGCTGAGGCTGGCTTTGAAGAGTTTCTTCTTATTATTAATTATAAACTCTTATTGGACATATAATTTCCAAATATTTTCTTCCATTTCACATAGGATGCCCTGGTAATTGTTTCCTTTTCTGTGCAGAAACTTTTTCACTTGATGTAAATTCAATTCATTATTTTTGTTTCTGTTACCTGTGTTTTTAAAGTCAAATTCATAATATCATTGTCAAGGCCAAGGCCAGAGAGCTTTCCCCTTGTGTTTTCTTCAAGTACTTTTTGTGGTTTGGGTCTTATGTTTAGATCTTTAATCCATTTTAGATAGATTTTTTTGTGTGTGTATTGTGTAAGATCTGGGTCTAATTTCATTCTTCTGCATATGGATATCTAGTTTCCCCAAAAAGACTTATTGAAGAGACTCTTTCTCCCCACTGTATGTTCTTGACACCTTTGTTGGAAGTTAGTTGACCATATGGGCTTGGATTTCTTTTGTGTAGGTTTCGGTTTATTTCTGGGCTCTCTATTGTATTCCCTTGGTCTATGTGTTTAGTTTTTCCAATACCATACTGTTTATGGACCTTTATTTCATCCATTTTTATGTGGTGCTGAGAATGGAACACAGTGCCTTACACATGCTAGGCAAGCACTCTTCCACTGAGCTACAACCCCAGTCCACCATACTCCCCTGATTCTTATAACTTTGCACCATAATTTGAAGTCTGGAAGCATGATGCCTCCAGTTGTATTTTTCTTGGTTATTTGGGGACTTCTACAGGTCCACACAAATTTTAGGACTGATTTTTCTATGTCTATAAAGAATTTTGATACGGATCACATTGACTCTGTAGAAGAATATTTTAACATTATTAATTCTTTCAATCCATGAACTTAAGACTTGTTTCCATTTATGTGTCTTCAATTTCTGTTATTAATGTCATAGTTTTCAGCATACAGATCTTTTACTTACCTTGTTCATTTCATTCCTAAGTTTTTATTTTCTGATGTTACCTTAAATGGGATTATTTTCTTAATTTCTTTTGTGGGTAGTTTACTGTTAATGTATAGAAATGCCATTGATTTTTTATATGTTGAAGTTTTAGCCTGCAACTTTACTGAGTTCATTTATTAGCTTAAACTGTGTGTTTATTTATTTAGGAAACATCTGATAACATTTTTTACTAGTGATAAAATGTGAACTTTCAGGGAAAAGAAGCATTTTGAAAAATTATATCTGCCATCATAATATATGTATTTATTTATTTTTGTGATATCTTTACGGTTTTCTATGTGTAAATTATGTTGCCTATAAGCAGAGACATTTTTTTTTTGAGAGAAGAGGGAGAGAGAATTTTTTTTTTATTTTTTAGTTTTTGGTGGACACAACATCTTTATTTTATTTTTATGTGGTGCTGAGGATAGAACCCAGCGCCCCACGCATGCCAGGCGCGCTACCCCTTGAGCCACATCCCCTGCCCCAAGCAGAGACAATTTTAATTTTCTTTTTCAATTTGGAGGCAACTAATTTATTTTTCTTGCCTAATAGGGAAATTTCATGATTTCTTGTAAATACTGTATACCCCTATTCATCCACCAAACCACAACTTATTTATTTATTTATTTTTACAGGAGGAAATGGTGATTATTTATACCTTTGCAAGTGACCACTTGCTATCAAAGCCCTCAAGTCTCTGGGGAGAGGAAGAAACCTTGCTTGGATGACAATCATACGGTCTCTTTACAAGCATGAAATAGTGCCATCAATTTTAGCAGCACTTTGGGAAACAAAGCAAAACAAACAGAAAAAACTCTCACCTTGCTCCCTGCTGTCCTTCTTCCCAGCCCACACACAGCCTTTTGACAGCTCAACTGTGTGACTTTTGGATCTTCCTTATAAGGATGTTTGAAAAGATATAAGTGACAGGAATCAATGCACATCATCTTAATTACTAAACACAGTTTATTGTAAGCCCTTTAGCTCCCAATAATTAAGATAAATGCTCCGTCCTCACACTAAGGCTGGGTCTACTTTTCCACAAAAGGTAGAAACATTAGTTAGGAAATTCTAATAATCCCAAACTGACTCTTCTGTCAAAGACATCTTGAACTATAAGGAGAACTGCCTCAGATATGCAGACCCTACTTCTTTATAAATATCCTAGTATCTGCTGTGCATGCATCTCCTTCTTCTTGGTGTTGTATTTCAGTAACCCACAAGTAGTTGTGGTATAACCTGTGGAAGGGCAGGATTCTCCTCTGACAATTTTTGTAAATATATTTTTCAAAATGTATACATGTTTTTAGATTGGGGAGTAAGACACACTGATTGTAGAACAATACAATATAAAATATCTGAAATATGTAGATATGGATATAGACACCACAGTGTAAAGGCTTCCTCAGCATCTGGGAATCTCTGGAGATTTGGTGATCGCAGGGATGCATAGTTTCCCTAGCATCCTGTCAGGGGAATAGAGATCTGCATAAGTATCCAGTGAGCTAATCTCCCAAGGTGACAACCTGGGGACATCCAGTCATTTTCCTGGGAAGTGGGGCGGGGGCATTTGCATTTTCTACAACTCAATTTTTTATACAACTGGAGACTTTGCATCCACCATCTTGACCCTCAAATCTACCTTGTTAGCTAGACAACCTCTGTATTTGGCATCCTCAGTTCCCTACAAAATCCCTCAGTAACTTCCTGCCTCCTGCAGTAGAAAGGCAAACAAGCTGTGTGTTTGGTCTTCATCCTCCTTGGTTGATTTGCTCTTCTATCAATGTCACCTTGAAGCCCCACTAATGAGGATGCTCAGTGGTATCTCTGTAGCCCCCAGACTTGGATTATACTTTCCCTTCAGACTGGACCTTTTTCACCACTCTTGCCAGGCTTTCTCCTGCTCGTCCTGTAATGTGCAGCTTGGCAACCACCTTGTCCTGGAAGGGGCTACTCTATTTTCCCATGATCCTTTGCACATCTCTCTATCGTTACTGATTGGATAGATGAAATTTCACCCTGAGCTTAGAACTACTGCTTTAGTCCTGGCTGAGATGTTGCCTGGAAAGGGGATGCTTGATGAATTCCCAGTTATTTCCACCTGCAAGAGGAAAGGGCTGAATTGGAAAGATAAATAAGGAAAGAGCTGAAGGGGTTCAGGAAAAATTATCCCCCCAAAATGGCACCTCAGCACATTGAAGAAATAGGGAGAAGCAGGAAGGCCATTTGCACCTTACCTCGCCTTTCTTCATTAAAGTAGGTCATAAACCTAGGAGGAATTTTTCTGAACTTCCCTTGAAATAGATCATAAGATGCTTATGCAAAAAGTGTCCTCTTTATACTAGGAAGAGGAGAATTCTTATTTCTGAAGGCCAAAGGTCATGGAGCAGAATAAAGACAAACAGGACTAAGTTCCCCCAGTTCATTACTGTTAGCTCACCCCTTCTGTACCTTACCACATGTGTATCTCCACGGCTGCCCACTCTTCATCAAACCCGACATAAAAATGTGTACATGGAACCGTTTCTTCAGGTCTTTATTTCCTTATGAAGGTTCCTGGGTCACACAAAACTTATTAAATAAACTTGTATGCTTTTATCTTGTTAATTTATTTTTAATAATAGGGGCCTCCACCATGAACTTGATAGGTGAGTTCATAAGTTGTGCTGAGACCAAAGAGGCACCAGACTTTGCTCTCAGAGAAAAAGGCCCCAGTCAGAGTTGAGCCCTGAAAGATCCACTTTGCCTGTTCTGTTGAATATATTGCTTTCTTCTATTCCATTTGAAGAAAGGAGACAGAATTGAGACCAAGACATAGTATCAGTTCACTTTGTGTGTGGAGGGGCAGCTTTAAGACTCCAATACCTCTACAGTGTTGCCGTCTTTGTCCACACTGAACTCTAGAGTAGCAACCATGGGAGACTGCTATGCAGTCACATTTTGTTTTTCAATAGCTTACCTTCTTGCCTTCTTTGGTCTTTTATAAAATGAATTCAATCAATGTATACCCCACCAAGAAAATCTACTTTTTAAAAGAAATATTACATGCAAATATGGCCATAAAATTAGATTATTTTGTCTATCTATTCTAAATACTTTCACTTAAACTTAATTCCAGAAAAAGTTACAGACTATAACAGAGAAAAGGGACTTAGGAATCATCTACTCTAATCACCTGATTGTACAAACGAACATGGCAAAATTAAGAGCATAAACTCTGGAGCCAGACTCTCAGGGTTTTTCTTCTGGCATGAAATTGCTGTGTGATCATGGGCAGATTACTTAACTTCCCTTTGTCAACTTTCTCTTTAGTAAAATGGGTATAAAAAGAGTGTCTACTTCATAGTATTGTTTGGAGGATTGAGTAGGTTAATAGCAAATATTTGCTATTATAGATATTTTCTACCTTTTATGGCAAATTAATCAAGACCAAAAATCCAGATTTTTAATTCCCATCCAAGATAATTTTAGCAGCTTCTCATTTTCCTAATCCACCTAATTTACCTGCATCTACTATAAGATTCTAGAGGAGTGGTTAAGACATATTTTCCCCTCACTTTAGTCCCAGGACTTCTATATCAGGACCACATATATGGCACCTATGCACTTTGATCTCTCTCTCTCTCTCTCTCTCTCTCTCTCTATCTATCTATCTATCTTTTTCTCTGTCTCTCTCTCATCTATTTCTGCCCATATCTATCTTTAATTCAGTTGATACCAGCACTACAGAGATGCCCTAGATCAGTAGAGCACGTGCAAGGTACAATGGCTTCAAGGAAGCATGAAATTTCAAATTCTTAAGATGACACACACAGGGAGTGCTATTGGCCAAATTATATTCTTACATTTGTGCATATGCCAATACATAACAAAAAATCCCATTATTATATACAACTATCATGCATCAATAAAAAATGTGAAAAAAAAGTTATACACAGAAGTACACTGGAAGCTGTCCCTCAGCACAGGCCCACAGATTTTGGGATTAGACTCCCACAGTGCCTTGGGTCAAAGTCTGCCCCCTGCTCTGCACACCTGGACAACCCATGCTGAGAACCCAGCACCTCACTGACATTCCCTCATCAGCTAGGCATGACCAGGACCAGGGTCCTTGAAACTAGTCCTACTTCAGTGCTCATGACTCTTGTTCAGAAACCAGAGTGAACTGTGCCAAATCTGGGACATTTGTCACCAGCCTCTGATTGCAGTTAACCCTAGTTAACTTTTTTGACTGTGCTTACTGGGTGGTCGGGGACAATCTTATTTATATTTATTGCTCTGGCATAGTTTAAACAGGGCGTTCTTTCATTTGCAGAAGTGCCTCCTATCTAATGTGCAAAGCCACACACCCTCTTCAATCATGTATCTTTCGAGATTTTTACTCTTTATACCTTTACTAGTTGACATTTTCTGCACCATCTCCCTTCCTCATCTATGTAGGAATTTCCTTTACTTCCCCTTTCCAACTTTCTCTACCCTCTGGCACCTATTCCACTGTGAATGACCCTCCCACCCTCTCAGCCTTCCTGGCAAGCTGATTCTCTGACCCATGCTTTTAAAATGGTTGGGCTAAGATCTGCTTATTCCTGTGTCAGAAATCTACCACCCTCTAAAAACCTAGAACTTATTCCCAGTGGATCTCAACCATCCACTCACCCTAGTCCCTCCTGGAGTGAGGATGGAGGTAGGGGGAACTTGTTCACGTTTAGATCGTTTTGGCTCCTGTTAGCCATGTGAAATCTGTGAGGTAAAGAGTTGGATTTTTCTTTTGCTCAGTTTCTGGGAGATGTGTCATGTCACAGCTGGCAGGAACATCTTTGTTTAGGACAGAGGCTGATCACACCAGATCTAAGGCTAGGATCAGACTTATTCATTCAGCATAGGGCCCCAGGTGGACAAAACCTTGGGGATGGGCTAGGGTTTGAATCATGTGCTATTGTTAGCCTGGAGACTGAGACCAACCACGTGGGTAATGAGTCCATTCATTAGTCAAGCCTGCATAATGGAGCTCTAAAAAAAAAAAGAAAAGAAAAAGAAAACCTCGAAACCTGGGCATTGGCATGGATGAGTGTTTTTCTGGCTTTGCCTGGTTGGCAATACTCTGTGCTTTTTGCCAAACCTTCATGTCCTAATTCCCCAAGGAGGCAACAGCAACTTCTAGTTGAGGACCCTCCAATACTCTGCATTGTGCATCTCTTCCCTGAGCTGTTTTTTGACCTATTTCCTTTCCTTGTAACCATGAGTATAACTGCTTTCAGTGAATTTTAAAGTACTTCTAGTGAGTTATTAAAACTGAGGGTTGTTTTTAAGAATGCTATGAACGGGCAGTTGGTGTCAGAAGTGAGGGCTGTCTTAGAAGGAGTTCGTGCCCTCTAACGTGCCCAGTTTAGCTAACTCCAGGCAGGGGTCACCTTTATGTCTTTCCATTTTCCTAAGAGATGGGACAGATTCCATTCCTCTGTCTCAGGAGGCTTTTGGCTCCTTTCCCAGGCAGAGTGGCCAGGGGAAGGATGTGAAATCCTCCTTTGGCAACATGATGCCTTACCCTTTGTACAATACAGTCTGAGTCTCATTTCTCAGGTCCAGCCAAACACGACCTTGCTTCTGTTCCTGGATGGTAAAAACATGGGACCATTTCAGAGCTGGCACTAGAATTTGTTTTCAAAGCAGGGAATACCTTGATAAGCCTAAAGTGGAATGTGAGAGGAAGAGAGAAGATGATCTGTATAATATGAGAAAAATAATATTTTTACCTTTTACAGGCAAGGGATAGCAAGGTGTGGTGGCCTACACCTGCGATCCCAGTGACTGAGGCAGGAGGATCAAAGGTTGAGGTCAGCTTCAGCAACTTAACAAGACTCTATCTCAAAAATATTGAGGGATGTGGCTCAGTGGTAGAGTGATCCTGGGTTCAATTTCTTGAACTGCAGAGTCGGGGTGGAAAAAGAGGAGTTGGTGAGAAAAGATGAGAAAGAGAGAGGGAGAGAAGCCCTCAGACTGGGGAGAGGCCAGGATTGATGAAAGCAGTGCCAATGGAAGGCCTGAGGCACTGTGAATCCAGATGCCCTGGATCTCCTTGGAGTCTTTCTGTCAGCCTATGAATACCACAATTCCATGTGCCTTGCACCTACTTTTAGAAGCTTGCTACCATTTTATGAGAGGGATCCTGGGCGTCTCAACTGGCAGACCGGAGCAGCCATAGGCAGCAGATGCCCTGGAGTCAGCAGAGGACGCGAGGCCAATCTGTCCTGTAGTTTGCAGGAGCCTCACACAGGACTCTGGATGTCAAACAATGGACCTTGAAGCATTAAGGTAATTGCACCTTAGCTCTCCAGGATGAAGCTGCTGGCTGACAGTGTGGTTACATAGATCATTTTCTCTCTCACGGTTGCAGAACACTGACCACGTGTTTGGCATCGTGCCAAGAGGTTTGCTCACATTGAATCTTCCCTACCACTCAGCAGAGCAGGCTCTGTTAACTCCACTTTATAGTAGAGGAACATGACAGGCAAATTCACAGCTGGTCACCAGTAGGTTGATTCTAGCTCCTTCTTCACACATCCCATGAGTTCCTAGTTGCTTGCATGTTAAATCTCAGTTACTTAGTTAGATGGGTGCTAAGACCCTGTGAGATGTGACCCAGACAGCCTCTCTGGACTGACTTCTTACCCGTTCAATCCTAGCGCTGACTCCTTCAGCCTATTGGACACTAGTGTGTCCACTAGTGGCTCTAGTTTCTGGATCCTAGAGCCATTGCTTCCTCCTTCTGCTCTACCCTTCCCTTCCCTCTTGGCCTGGATGACTTCAACTCTTCTGCTCTCCCAGATGCTGTCACCATCTCCCTAACTGTCACCTATACCCACCTGGAGCCACAGTGTTCTGTGCCTCAATCCAGTTACCACCTGGTACTGAGAGAAGTTCTCCCTGGCTGGGATGGACAGAGAGCATACACTCTGTGAGGTTCCAAGGAAGCTGCATTCAAGTTTGCAAAAATATTGATTATGAAGGAGGGTCAGGTGGTAAGATGGAGGCAGTTTTTATTTTTCCTCATTGAGCTACTAGGAAGTGATGAGAGAAAACTAGAATTTGGTTATATCTACTCTCAAGGAATGAATGATAGAGCTGTTGAGGCAATGGGCAGAAGTCTAGTCAGGAAATGGATCTCAGACTCTGCTTACACTCATCATTACAAGATAAGTTCTGTCAGCAACGTGTCCTCACCCGCCCATCTCTTTTTCCCTTCTGTTATTTATCGTTCTGATTTCTAACACTTTAAATACACTTGGATTTTTAAATTCCTTACCTGGAGCGTTAGTGGTTATGGGAAATAGACTAATAGTCCTCAGAAATGTCCACATCCTAAACCCTGGAAATAGTGAACATATTTGGTTACATGGTAAAGGAGAGTTAAGCTGCCAACCAGGTGACCTCAGTACAGGGCTATCACCCAGGTTTTCCCTAGGGATTTAATGTAATCACAGTTTTCTTAAAGGAAGAATGAAGCAAAACAGGTCAGAGCAAGAAGGTGGTGTAACTAAGGGAGGAGAGATAGAAAGATGCCGCCTTGTGTCATGT